TCTAGGGGCCAAAGTATAATATGTGCCGAAAAACAGACTTCACCGTTGGAATCAGCGTCCAAAACTGTACACATGGACCAGTTTTATGAAAATCTAAGGGGGTCCCCCTTCGCCCCAAAAAACTTTGAATGCCTCTAGGGGCCAAAGTATAATATGCGGCGAAAAACAGACTTCACCATTGGAATCAGCGTCCAAAACTGTACCCATGGACTAGTTTTTATGAAAATCTAAGGGGGTCCCCCTTAGCCCAAAAAAAAATTTGAATGCCTCTAGGGGCCAAAGTATAATATGTGGCGAAAAACAGACTTCACCATTGGAATCAGCGTCCAAAACTGTACACATGGACCAGTTTTTATGAAAATCTAAGGGGGTCCCCCTTCGCCCTAAAAAAAACTTTGAATGCCTCTAGGGGCCAAAGTATAATATGTGGCGAAAAACAGACTTCACCATTGGAATCAGCGTCCAAAACTGTACACATGGACCAGTTTTTATGAAAATCTAAGGGGGTCCCCCTTCCCAAAAAAAAAAACTTTGAATGCCTCTAGGGGCCAAAGTATAATATGTGGCGAAAAACAGACTTCACCGTTGGAATCAGCGTCACAAACTGTACCCATGGACCAGTTTTTATGAAAATCTAAGGGGGTCCCCCTTCGCCCAAAAAACTTTGAAGGCATCTAGGGGCCAAAGTATAATATGTGGCGAAAAACAGACTTCACCATTGGAATCAGCGTCCAAAACTGTACACATGGACCAGTTTTTATGAAAATCTAAGGGGGTCCCCCTTCGCCCCAAAAAAACTTTGAATGCCTCTAGGGGCCAAAGTATAATATGTGGCGAAAAACAGACTTCACCATTGGAATCAGCGTCCAAAACTGTACACATGGACCAGTTTTTATGAAAATCTCAAGGGGTCTCCCTTCCCCCAAAAAACTTTGCATGCCTCTAGGGGCCAAAGTATAATATGTGGCGAAAAACAGACTTCACCGTTGGAATCAGCGTCCAAAACTGTACCCCTGGACCAGTTTTTATGAAAATCTAATGGGGTCCCCCTTCGCCCCAAGAAAACTTTGAATGCCTCTAGGTGCCAAAGTATAATATGTGGCGAAAAACAGACTTCACCATTGGAATCAGCGTCCAAAACTGTACCCATGGAGCAGTTTTTATGAAAATCTAAGGGGGTCCGAATGTGATTCTGAAAGTGAATCTGAATGCCTCTAGGGGCCAAGTATAATATGTGGCGAAAAACAGACTTCACCATTGGAATCAGCGTCCAAAACTGTACACATGGACCAGTTTTAATGAAAATCTAAGGGGGTCCCCCTTCGCCCAAAAAAAAACTTTGAATGCCTTTAGGGGCCAAAGTATAATATGTGGCGAAAAACAGACTTCACCATTGGAATCAGCGTCCAAAACTGTACACATGGACCAGTTTTTATGAAAATCTAAGGGGGTCCCCTTTCGCCCCAAAAAAACTTTGAATGCCTCTAGGGGCCAAAGTATAATATGTGGCGAAAAACAGACTTCACCGTTGGAATCAGCGTCCAAAACTGTACCCATGGACCAGTTTTTATGAAAATCTAAGGGGGTCCCCCTTCGCCCCAAAAAAACTTTGAATGCCTCTAGGGGCCAAAGTATAATATGTGGCGAAAAACAGACTTCACCATTGGAATCAGCGTCCAAAACTGTAGCCATGGACCAGTTTTTATGAAAATCTAAGGGGGTCCCCCTTCGCCCCAAAAAAACTTTGAATGCCTCTAGGGGCCAAAGTATAATATGTGGCGAAAAACAGACTTCACCATTGGAATCAGCGTCCAAAACTGTACACATGGACCAGTTTTTATGAAAATCTAAGGGGTCCCCCTTCGCCCCCAAAAAACTTTGAATGCCTCTAGGGGCCAAAGTATAATATGTGGCGAAAAACAGACTTCACCATTGGAATCAGCGTCCAAAACTGTACCCATGGACCAGTTTTTATGAAAATCTAAGGGGTCCCCCTTCGCCCAAAAAAATTTTTGAATGCCTCTAGGGGCCAAAGTATAATATGTGGCGAAAAACAGACTTCACCATTGGAATCAGCGTCCAAAACTGTACAGATGGACCAGTTTTTATGAAAATCTAAGGGGGTCCCCCTTCCCCCAAAAAACTTTGAATGCCTCTAGGGGCCAAAGTATAATATGTGGCGAAAAACAGACTTCACCGTTGGAATCAGCGTCCAAAACTGTACACATGGACCAGTTTTTATGAAATTCTAAGGGGGTCCCCCTTCGCCCAAAAAACTTTGAATGCCTCTAGGGGCCAAAGTATAATATGTGGCGAAAAACAGACTTCACCGTTGGAATCAGCGTCCAAAACTGTACACATGGACCAGTTTTTATGAAAATCTAAGGGGGTCCCCCTTCGCCCCAAAAAACTTTGAATGCCTCTAGGGGCCAAAGTATAATATGTGGCGAAAAACAGGCTTCACCATTGGAATCAGCGTCCAAAACTGTAACCATTGACCAGTTTTTATGAAAATCTAAGGGGGTCCCCCTTCGCCCCAAAAAAATTTGAATGCCTCTAGGGGCCAAAGTATAATATGTGGCGAAAAACAGACTTCACCATTGGAATCAGCGTCCAAAACTGTACACATGGACCGGTTTTTATGAAAATCTAAGGGGGTCCCCCTTCCCCCCAAAAAAACTTTGAATGCCTCTAGGGGCCAAAGTATAATATGTGGCGAAAAACAGACTTCACCGTTGGAATCAGCGTTCAAAACTGTACACATGGACCAGTTTTTATGAAAATCTAAGGGGGTCCCCCTTCGCCCCAAAAAACTTTGAATGCCTCTAGGGGCCAAAGTATAATATGTGGCGAAAAACAGACTTCACCATTGGAATCAGCGTCCAAAACTGTACACATGGACCAGTTTTTATGAAAATCTAAGGGGGTCCCCCTTCCCCAAAAAACTTTGAATGCCTCTAGGGGCCAAAGTATAATATGTGGCGAAAAACAGACTTCACCGTTGGAATCAGCGTCCAAAACTGTACACATGGACCGGTTTTTATGAAAATCTAAGGGGGTCCCCCTTCGCCCTAAAAAACTTTGAATGCCTCTAGGGGCCAAAGTATAATATGTGGCGAAAAACAGACTTCACCATTGGAATCAGCGTCCAAAACTGTACACATGGACCAGTTTTTATGAAAATCTAAGGGGTCCCCCTTCCCAAAAAAAACTTTGAATGCCTCTAGGGGCCAAAGTATAATATGTGGCGAAAAACAGACTTCACCGTTGGAATCAGCGTCCAAAACTGTACACATGGACCAGTTTTTATGAAAATCTAAGGGGGTCCCCCTTCGCCCCAAAAAAACTTTGAATGCCTCTAGGGGCCAAAGTATAATATGTGGCGAAAAACAGGCTTCACCATTGGAATCAGCGTCCAAAACTGTTACCATGGACCAGTTTTTATGAAAATCTAAGGGGGTCCCCCTTCGCCCCAAAAAAAAATTTGAATGCCTCTAGGGGCCAAAGTATAATATGTGGCGAAAAACAGACTTCACCATTGGAATCAGCGTCCAAAACTGTACACATGGACCAGTTTTTATGAAAATCTAAGGGGGTCCCCCTTCCCCAAAAAAAACTTTGAATGCCTCTAGGGGCCAAAGTATAATATGTGGCGAAAAACAGACTTCACCGTTGGAATCAGCGTCCAAAACTGTACACATGGACCAGTTTTTATGAAAATCTAAGGGGGTCCCCCTTCGCCCCAAAAAACTTTGAATGCCTCTAGGGGCCAAAGTATAATATGTGGCGAAAAACAGACTTCACCATTGGAATCAGCGTCCAAAACTGTACACATGGACCAGTTTTTATGAAAATCTAAGGGGGTCCCCCTTCCCCCAAACAATTTTGAATGCCTCTAGGGGCCAAAGTATAATATGTGGCGAAAAACAGACTTCACCGTTGGAATCAGCGTCCAAAACTGTACACATGGACCGGTTTTTATGAAAATCTAAGGGGGTCCCCCTTCGCCCCAAAAAAACTTTGAATGCCTCTAGGGGCCAAAGTATAATATGTGGCGAAAAACAGACTTCACCATTGGAATCAGCGTCCAAAACTGTACCCATGGACCAGTTTTTATGAAAATCTAAGGGGGTTCGAATGTGATTCTGAAAGTGAATCTGAATCTGAGGCTGACTTGACAGACGTATTACATAAATGTGCTTGCTGTTACCGTAATGTGAACAAGCTGGACAAATAATAAAAATGGTCCCGTTTTCTACTTTCCTTTGTTGCTTACTTTCTCCCCTTCTATGATAACTTTGATCCGACGGCGTCCCTTTATGGAAATATTGTAACTTTTTGCATAGATTATCCACCAATCCGACATATTGCCGGATTACGCAGTCTGTTTCGCTATGCCTTTGCACTCCTTTTCTTTCCCAAAGCTCCGATTCCCTTTTAGGGGATCGAAGCTAAATCAGCCTTTGAAGTTGCAGCATGAAGGGCCACTTATCCGATTTGCTCAACTGCCTGTGAACTTAGGCAGCAATTTGTCTATACTAAGGCGGGTCAGCGTCTCGACTTATCCTGGGAAGACGGAGGAGAGACCCGTCTTTATCTCGTCTCGACGTCAGCTCAGTCTCGACTCCCTCTCGCTATCGCTCGTCTGATCTAGCTGTCCATGTAAGGGTCGGTCTGAACCCGCGACGCCGCCGGCTGCAACGGTGGCTGGTGCACGTCATCATTGGAGTAACCGGCCGCTGCCTTTGTGGCTCTTCCCTCTCAATGATGATACCATGGATCACCTTATGTGATCCGTAATGATACCAACACCGGCAGAATCACTGGAGCTGAGGCGTCAGTGTTGGCAGAGCACAATGAAGGCGGTCGTTTAGGCGTGATGAAGGCACAGTAGAACCGCGATGAATGAATCATTCACCTGTAATTTTGTGTTCCGCCATGAAGCTCGTTCACCGCCGCGCCATGTCCATTGCTGATTGGTCCATTTTCTCTGTCCGCAGCTTCTAATTGGTCTACAGCGCGACGCTCTCGGCTTCCGTCCGCAGCGCCGCCAGCTGACTGTGGTGACCCGTGTGACCTCTCCGGGTCACGTGAGGTCAGCGGTGCAGCGGCGCGGCAGCTCAGCCAGCCGCCATTCGGTCAGCTCCGTCGGATCACAGGTCAGTCAACGGGCCGTCATATTCAACACAACAACACGCTCGGTGAAGTGAGAAGTCACTTTCCGTTAGCAGACGTTTGGTTCAAAACATTCCTAGAGCTATAATAAGATGGCGAAGTACTAAAATGAGCAGCATTATTGAATGTCGTAGAAGAATAACCTTATGCTCACTATCTTTTAACAATCCGAAAATTAGCCTAAAATCAATGAAAATCAATGAATATATTTCGGAAACGTTCCTTCTTCAGTTCAAAAAGTTAACTATACAAGCCACATAAATGTACAAATAATTGAACGTCACAAAAGCGCCGAATTAACTGATCCCACCAACGAATATTAGTCACATTCTCGTGCCATATAAGTAGAACGGCCTCTTTTAATCAACGCAAGACTAAAATAACAGGTATACATAAGGTAGCGTAACCAAATACAACTGTATGAGATCACTTGTGACCCAACAATTACTGTGCTAGTCATCTTAGAAACACACAATATAATTACAACTAACATGCAAGGTGTACACAGCCGACTACTCAATAGATCGATTGTCTAGCCAACAAACTAGCCATTCATCCAATTGTTCAATCCACTAGTCATTACATTCAGGCGTGGAGTCGACAAACCATTCAAATATCAATTCCAAATCATTCAATCAAACGTTTTATCATACATCTATCCCAACATCTATCACGTCTCAGGCTGACAGTTCACACTAATCACAGAATTGCCCAAGATGCGATGTTGGTGTTTAGGGCTGGTCGGTATGTCCTTATCCATAGCGACTCTGCTATTTTTCTGTCTCTGCTGGTGTTGCATGTCTGTAGGATCTTGGCCGCGATGTGTTGGGGCTCTGGGCGACATCGAGGGTGGTCATCTCTGAAGTGGTCGCCCCACGGTGAGTCCATACGGTGGTTCTTCGCGTCCCGTAGATGTTCATTGTAGCGAAGTCGTATGTGACGTCCGGTTTCGCCGATGTAGCTCCGGTTGCACAGCGTGCAGGTAAGTTGGTATACCACTCCGGAACTGTGGCACCGGCCCTGTAGTCCTGTAGATTCTGTATTCCTCAGCGCGCACCCTCACACCGTCAGTCCATCTCGCTCACTGACTCACCGCCTGCCCGGACACAGCTTGGCCCCGGCGGCAGCGACCTGACACCGCCTGAGCGAAGTCCATCCGACTCGCATCGCGGAAAGCATCACTTAGCATCGAAAAGCATCACTGAAACTACACTCCACCCTTGATCTCGAAGGATCAACCCATCGATTGGAAATACTGGGCCTGTCTACGTTCCCGCTCGCTTCTACGTGGAATCTGTCGCTCCTCCTCACCCACAATCTCAGCTGACTCTCCCTCCACGACTTCCGGCCCACTGTTCCCCTCTGAGCCCGCATCATTCACCACCGGCACGGTAATGACCAGACTCTCACCGTCCCTCTCTCCCTCACTGTCGCCCTCACTAACGGGCCCCTCCTCGACGGCGGCATTCCGTCGGCGTAAATTTCTCACGTGCCACGGCACTCCATCGACTTCTACGACCTGCTCAGAAACGACATCAGACACCGTGCCGGGACGCGACGCATCAACACACCGAGTTCCCCGACGACGTACCCAGACAGGGTCGCCAACACGATACGCGGCTGCCTCACTGTTCACTGGTACGGGGTTGGGCGCCGCCGGTGCAGCAGCGGGCCGCACATTGTCCCTCACATTGTACCGGAACACGACACTCGCGGGTGCAGATCCACCCTCGCGCGGCGTTACATTGTACAGGTGGACTGCCTCGGCCACCGAGCATTGTTTTCGCGCAGCAATGACCTTGATCGTGCGATGGTTCCGCTCAACTATCGAATTGCCAGCCGGCTCATGAACCGCCCTAAATCGAAGACGCACGCCCCACCTCGCTGCAAAAGCCGCAAAACTCCGACTGCGAAAGATGGTGTCATTATCACAAAGCAGCTCCTCAGGTGCCCCGCGCTCGAAGAAGATCTGTTCGAGCTGAGCGATCGTGACATCAGCGTCCGGACGACTCAGGTGTCGCCACAGACAGAACCGCGAGGGTCCACAGTCCACAACCGAGAGAAACGACTGGCCCCGGTAGTGCGTTACATCAATTGCCAGTCGCTTCCATACGTCAGACACTTCCAACGAGCCATGCCTCCACTTCATTGGCGCCGGATCGATTGAGCGGCATGCGTCACACTGGCTCACCACATTTTGCACTTGAGCTCGCGTCACGTCCTTTGAAATGTCACGCCGTGCAAAGTACAGTGTCCGACGAACCCCGGGATGTCCGGCGCGGTCATGCACTCCTGCGATGGCCTCCGCAATATCAGCAGAGCCTCCTGGTGCAAGCTGATCCTCCGTCCGGTCCTCTGCCGCGCCGGCCGAGTCTCCCCGCGGCGTCATCCGATCCACCTCAGCGCTGCTACCACCTGCAGCTGCGACTTGATCGCCTCCTCTCAGTACTGCCGAACCCGATGAATCGTCATCAGAGTTAGGCAATGCCAGCCCATTGGCCGCAGCCTCGCAGCCGGCCATTGTCTCAGTAGCTGCAGGCGATGACTCATCACGCACCCAGTCTTTCGGCACTCGGGTCAGCTCGTCTGCTCGATTCGCTGCGCTCCGCACCAGAGTTACAGACAGCGACAGCTCGAGCTCATCCACCAGCTGTCGAATCATGTCGACCCTGCGTCTGATCAACATCTCTCCGTGTGCCTTGGTGCGCAGCCGAGCGCGGCCGCTCAATGCATCGTTGATCCAACGGTGCACTGTGACCGAGTCCGTGCGCAGATCGATGACACGCATGTCCCAAGCGACGGCCACGTTGATGCCTCTCACGGCCGCATTTAGCTCCGCAACATTTATGTGTGTGGATTCATCCTTCCTCAGCCAGCATCCGTCTTCAATGACGTCGCCGTCAGGTGACTCCACCACCACACCCGCTGCTACGGAGCTCGCATCCACCCAAACCACAGCGCGGTCGCTCCGCACGCTCCACAGACCGTGTGCCGGATCGTGACTGGCTACCCGAGCCGCGACATGACTAATCTGCTTCTGCAGAACTCCGTCGTAGGTGATGTCATCCCATCCTTGTGTGACGTCATTCACGCGTCGTTTCAGCCAGGCCACGGCAGGGCGGAGCCAACCACACACCGGCATGTGAGCGATCAGGCGTCCGCACCACGAGAACACTCCACGGCGCGTGAGCACAGCCGGTGGTGGTCCGACTGGGTTGTCTCTGCTCCACACCAGCCTGCCAAGCTCCCGTGAGACTCGCAGACCGAGCAGACGCGCACCGCCTGCCGCCCGCTCTGGAGGCTTGCACTCGAGACCAAAGTTCGCCAGATGAGCCACCACTCGCTCTGCGCTAACAATGTCCTCGTTCACCAGCAGATCGTCCACGTACGGAAGCACTGCCCGGTTTACGTCCGCGTCACGTTCCAGAACCGTCCGAATCACCGCCTTCATGACGAGCGGAGCCACGCACAATCCATAACCGAGCCGTGTCAAACAATGTCTCTGGTTTTCGATCATCACCGTCTGAAACGGCCACAGCTGGCGGTCAACCTGAATCTGCAAATACGCGTGACGTAGATCTACGACCGCAACGTTTTCGCCATGTCGTCGCCACTTCCTCAGTTGGTCCGCACAGACGTCTGCGTCAGCTGTGTGAGCTGTCAAGTAATTGTTCAGTTCACGATAGTCAAGCACAGGTCTCACTTTCGATTTGTTCTTTTGTTGAACTGCCATTAAAGGCACCAGACCCTTTGGTGGGCCAAGCTCTGACTCGTTGTAGGGAATAAGCCAGCCCTGCTCCACCCAACGTTTGAGTTCATCGTCAAATTCACGGCGAGCGTCACACGGCACCCTGTACTGTGCGACAGTGTTCTGCAAGCACTCCGGCTCTGCTCCGTCAGTCCACTTCCATTTCATTCTCCACGCCTTAGATGTCGGATCAAAGTACACGGCATAATCTGGTGCATCCACAACTGGTGCCCGGTCCGGGTGCAGGTCGGTCGGTGTCGGTTCGGGTTGCGCCGCCGTCTCATTGCAGCCCGGATGCAGCGATGAGGCTGCTCCATCCGAGACGCCACTGGCAGCCGCTGCAACTGGAGCGGCCGGCACAGCTGAGTCCACTCCAAAGTTCACTTCACTGGATGCACTAACGAACACGCCCTGCAGAGCAGTCACACCGTTCATTCCCAGAATGAATGAAAAGTTCAAAGGCTTTCTAGCAGACACCAGCACTTCCAACTCAACTCGAGCACCAAACATGGTCTGCACTGACACGTAACCTCTGCCTTCGCATGCGTATCGTTCTCCACTCAGTGTCACAACGTTGATTCGCTCCGCAGACCAGCGGCGGCAAACGGAGGAGTGCGCGACGCTCACGGTGCATCCGGTATCCACGAGGGCTCGACACATCACTCCGTCCACCGACAGGCGCGTGGTCGGCAGAGCGCCACTCACTGGTGAGCCGGAGAGGAGGCTGGCGCTGAGGCCACCTCTCCGCCGCCGTTTTCCGGGCAGGTAGCTGCCACGTGGCCGGGTCGGCTGCACCGGAAGCAGAGCCTGCTTCCGCCCAAACCACCTCGACGTCCACGGCCACCTCGACCACGAAGACAATCGCGGGCCAAGTGGTTGGGCTGTCCGCACGCATAGCAAACGGTGGCTTCCTGACGGCGCGGACCGCGGTGGTCTGCCGCTGCAGCTACCCCCAGAACGCTATCTCGACAGAGGATAGCACGGGCCCGGTCCACCATCTCCGACAGAGACAGGGACTCCATGCGGGCGCCTGTCTGGAGAGCGTGCCGCACGGACTCGGGCAGTCCTGCCACAAATGCGCAGCTCAATCCCTCTTCGTTAATGCCTCCGAAGATCGACGACAGTCTTTGTAGGTCCGCCAGAAACACATCGACGGACTCGTCGACCCGCAGCTGGCGATCTCGGAACTCTTCGTAGGCTTTAAACTTGTCGACTGCAAACGCACGCTGCAAAGCC